TCAAAATCGGAGATATTAGCATAAAAAACGTTAAAAAAAAACTTGGATTTAAGACGTAAAACTGTCAAAATCCTGCTTAGTTACACAATAAAGTGTCAAAATTCTCGATATTAACACACAGACGTGTCTTTTTTTTAATCTGTCCAGTTTTGGTGTGGATCAAAGGAGACCAGCAGGTTCAGAAACTCTGAAACCCAACAAGTCTCTGAGACCGTCTTTAGTCCACGTCGTGGTTCAGACCTGAGACCCAGCTGATCTTTACCGTCCTGCTGCCATGTGATCAGCTGATCCTGGTGCAGCTCTAACGTCTAACGGTGGACGAGTTCTGGGACGTGTTCACTTTGTTTCTGGACAGCTGGACAGCTTCTGGTGCTCGGATCACTTTACCAACAGTCATATTTAATTAAAGGAACCCAACAGTCACCACATGATGCTGCTGCACTGCAAAGGCTCAAGTCTGAGGCGATTAAACTTCCTAAAGTTGAGTCTACGAGCAGGAAAGTGTCTTTATGTCTGTTTACTGGAAAGATTTCAGCTGGAGCTGGAAGACATTTGGCTGGATTTCCTCACAGTTGGTGAATCGTGCACCACGAACACCAGGACAGACTTCTGGCTGCTCTCCTGCTCGGCTTCACCGTTTATCAGGATGGAGTTTGTTTGTGCACGAAACACACGACTGAAACGAAAAAAAACGAAACGAAAACCAACAAAACGCACATTGTTGTCAGGTTGTGAAGCTCGTCACCGTTCAGAAACGATCCAATCCCATCAGTTTATGAAGTGTTTAGCAGCGCTTCACAACTCCTGGAACAAAACGACACTTTATGGCATCAAAGTGTTTTTGTTTTTATATCAAGACAAAGAAAAGCCCTCTAGTGTCTGAAGCGCCTCCAGATCTTCCCTCATCACCCTCAGCGGCTAAAGTGAGCAGCAGCTGGAGGTCCGACGCCGCCCTTCAATAAACTCTGATAAAGTGCGGCGCATGAAAAACAAATTTCGAAATTTCATCGGAGGGAAAAAAAAAAAACCTCGGCCCATATTTTTCCTCCGTTTGGCTTCGGACGAGATAATTCCATCAGACGAGTGGCAGCTTCTGGTCCAACAGATGCTGCCGTTCGCCTGCAGAACTCAGGGGACAGAATATAGCGCCGCGCGTAACGCAATAAACCGTCCCACCAGATGCGGGGCGTGTAACGCAATAAACGCTCCCCCCCCCCCTCACTGGAAGAAGCCGCCGCCGCCTGCAAGTGGGATTACAAACTCTCACCTCCAGATGAGATTAAGACGCGTCGCCTCGGGCAGCGAGACCTGAAATAATAACCCGTCTGTGGCGATTAAAGCTGCGGGAAAGAAAAAAAAAGTAATAACACAATGAAATGAAAATTTCATCTTTTTAATTCGCCCCCTCCTCCTCCTCCTCCGTTTAGGGGAAATCCTATTAGATTCCACTAGTTTTGGCTGAGAGAGAAAAAAAAGCTGAATTATTTGGATTTCTTTGCTCTTCTTCGCTCCATCCTTCACCGTCGTCCTCCTCCTCCATCAGCTTTGGAGAGATCCCAAATCTCATTTCCCATCGCCGCCGTCGTCAAAGGAAGAAACGACCAAAAGGCCAAACGGAGTGTAAACAATCATCGGCTCAAGCTAAAGGACGCTGAAGTCGGCAAGGATGGAACGCAACCAAAACAAGAACCTCGAACGCCCTTTAAAAAAATCCTACATTCGTTGGATTAATTTGTCAAACGTGGACACAGTGCTGCCTTGCTTAAAGGCGCTTCGATGTGTGGAAACAGTTTCAGCGCCTGAAACCAGCTGCTTCCTGTATACGTCCACCTTTGGATTTTTTGTGCATCTTCAGGTATGAATTACTTAAAGTTAAACTTCTTGCACATAAACAGACTGAGACCCGTTTTACTGTTTAATATAACGACTGATTTACAACAAGCAAAGCAAGAACGATTATTAACAGGAACAAGCGAGTTTTAAATAATTTTCCTCACAGACAACTTGCACAGTGCTGGTGGAACTGCTTTAACTCAAACACGTGATAATAGCAGCTTGACTCGATGGTCACTTCATCATCGTGAGATCTGGCTTTAAGCGCCACCAAAGTCTTCGTCATGGTGCCCGTTGTTAGCTAAACCTAGCTAGCTGTCTGCTGGTTGTGCTAGCGGACGCCTCCTCGAACGGTGACAGTCTTTCACCTCATTAAACAGTTTCATTCATTTATTCATTCGTTAAACTCCGAGTATCTGAGTAGACAGTAAAAGATATCGGTGTACAGAAGTTAGACAGCGATAACATACTACAAGACAACGTTGGTAAAATAATGAAAACACTAATTAGACCATTTAAGTATTAAAACAAATGAGTAAACCAAAAGAAGAGCAGCTGGGAGTTAAATACCGTAATGTCCAGACTATAAGCTGCTACTTTTTTCACACGTTTAAGCAACGATGCGGCTAATTTATGGATTTTTACGAATTTGCTTCGAGACGAAAGTGACGCTGAGCGACAACGAAAGAGAGACTGAGGAAGTGACGAAGTAACTCTGAGGCTGAAGAAGACGACTTTAGTGGTTTCACTGCGCAGGAGGAAGATGAAGATAGCGATCAGTGACTTTTCCTGGTAGGCTGCTGTTACAGGTGCTGGTCGGAAAAAAGCACTTATGTATCTGTGTATGTTATTGGTATGTATTTAATTAAAAGTTAAAAACATCTTTCTGTGTAAATATCTCACGTTCCAACGTGGACACCTGCAGCTTAGAGACAAGTGTGGTCTGCATATGTACAAATTTTGTTTTCTTTTTAGAGTTAGTGGGTGCGGCTTATATTCAGGTGCGCTTATAGTCCAGAAATTACAGTAGGAGGAAATTAAACGTCTGAACGATGAGTCCAGCGTTAAAAAGTTAAAGGTGTTACAGCCTCTTGGTTAATACAATATAATAACAGTGACTAATTGATTGGTGACGAATCATTACAGCCCTACCTGGAACATTAAGGCCCCGTTCACACGTAGACTTTTTAAAACGTCGTCTCGGTGTTTTGACATCTCGTCCATGCGAGTGCAGATTTAATTCACTGAAATGTACATTTTGAAAACATACATTTTCAGTCGTGAGGCCGTAGTATAGTAGAGTATAGTAGAGTATGTTGTTTGGTAGTTGGAACCATTACCAGCTTGTTTTTCAGACGTCTGATTGGCCGGCGAGCTTGTGTTTTAGCGCCACCTGTCGTCTTCACAGCGCTTCAACTGCTTTTATGCGAACAGAGACTCATTAAGAAGGAAAACCCCGTTTTAAAATATGCATGTACATGAGCACTGGGCCTTAACGAAGCAGCTAAAAGCAATAAAGTGATATCAAACTGAAATCAATGTAGCAGCTGATTAGAAAAACAAAAGCCGGTGGAGGTCGTAAACAAAGCTGTGAAAGTGCACATTAGAGCTGTTTAATGGACGGAGTGCAGGTTTGAACAGGAGCTCTGTCTCTGAACATCTACGTTCAGCTACATTTATTTAAACACTGCTGTGACGATCCGACACCGACGTGGTTAAAGACGGAGTCCGAAACAGAAAGAAAAAGCCTCAATAGAGCGAAACAGGACGCAGAGTCCAAATGTTTAATGTGCATTAAACATTGATGCTTTCATATATATTATGATCAGAGTGTGTAGGTGTGTGTTGGAGTGTGTGTTGTGTGTGTGTGTGTGTGTGTTGGTGTGTGTGTGTGTTTGCGTGTCACAGTGGACTGCGTACCAAATCAATCAGCCTATCAGGGAGCAGTGAAGCACACTGAAACCATTTACAGCACTCTGTACTTCAGTACACCTGACGCCTGGGGACTCCACTGTGTGGGTTTATGTGTGTTTGTGTGTTTGTGCGTCACACAGATGCTTCATCCCGTTTTATTTCTCCATCTCCTCCTCCGCCATGACTGGCAGCTCCTAAGCCCCGCCTCCTCGGAGCCAAAGGAAGGCCTTCGTCCACAGAAAGTTGATTCGCAATTGGTTGATTCCATTTTCGTGTGGTTGCATTTCTGTTTCTGCCACTAGGGGGCGCTCTAACAAAGGATTAATCATGACATGGTCTGGCTACGTGGACCCAGGTTTCGCTAGCATGGTAGCAGCTTTAGCTAACAGTGACGCACATGTGGTCAGGTGACATTTACAACAAGCGCTACCATCTTTCACAGTAAATAAATGAACATTAGTAGAAATGCACAGGTTTTAAAGTAGCAAACGCTTTAAATTTACAGTTTGGTTGGAAAATATTAACAATAATAAGGTAATAATAGGTGGAAGAGATTCGCCAAAATAGGTTGGACAATATCGGCATGTTGGTAAAAATCCAATATTGTACAACATGACTCCACTATAATCCTGATGTCATGGTGCCATAAAAGGAGGAAATCATTTCCTTGAGTTAAGATCTGAATCAGTAGCTAAACCCTTTCAACCTGGTCTCCACAACATCACGTTCCTATACAACCAAACTGCAAACACACAAATGTCTAGGGGAACAAAGTTTGTTTGGAAAGAACGGAAGAAGAAAGGCGGCAAGTTTGGAGGTCTTAGAGGTAGCTGGTGACATAAACCAGTGACCAGAATTTCAACCCAAAAAAAACCCGTAACACGAAAAAACGGATTTACCTTCATCCCACACAACAAACCCAGTTTATTCCTAGCTAGCTCACGTCAATGCTAATGGAACGTCTTGGCAGGTCAGTATCTCAGTGTTTTCTCTGATCCAAGTTACCACGATACTGCTTCCTGTAAATCTAGAATTAAGTTCTTAAACAATCAAACTCGATTCTCGATTTAAGATGCAAGACCATCATTCTCAGAATTAAGTCGTCTGTTGATGTTTAGGATTTTTTTCTTGCTTTCTAGCTCAGTTTAGGAAACATCAGGCTTCGTTAGACACTTTTACATGTTAGAAGTTTGGTAAAATTCAGACATCAAAACTACTCAGAGTTCACAAAAATGGTTTAAAATACGATTCTTTAGCTACATGTTGAAGCTTCTCCTCCATTTTCTGGGTTGCCATGGTGTTCTATTATTGAATGTGAACAATTTCTCGTTCACTCACACCAAATTTAAAATCGTTAAGGATCCGATTAGCCAGAGAGGAATTAGCTAATTCCTTAGTTTTCAACAAGTCCTCCGACCTGAACAGCCACACAGGTTGCTTGTCCCTAAAATCCAACGTTTATACCAAATCATGCTCCTACACAACTAAACTGCATCCCCAATTACATTTTTATATAGAATTTTGTCTTGAAATAAATATAGTTTGTGAGTTTTGACGTAGTTGGAAACTAGAAGGAGGCTGGATTTGAGACCATCAGTCACAGAATTAAATGATGTTTGTTGTTGTTTACTTTTGGTTTTTACTCGCTTTCTGGTTTGGTTTAGAAAAATATCTCACTTTGTTTGTTACTTCTACATGCTAGAAGCTTGGCTAAGGTTCAGGACCAACATTACTTGGACAGAGTTTGAATAAATATCCTAGTCTGGGTTCAAACACGACTTATTTGCTCCGTGTCTGAAGAGTCGCCTCCATTTTCTGGGCCACCAAGACACCTATGACTCCCTCCTGAAGTGGGTACCACCACCAAGCTTCACAGATGTTTGAAGGGCCTCCTCCAGTTTCTGGGTTACCATGGCAACAAGTCCTGCCCCATCTAATATCTGAGTGACTGGTTGGAAAGGAGCAACAACGGAGCGGTAAAATAAACGGTAAAGACTCGATCATTAGAAACCAACAGACGTAATCGAGGACGCAGATTAGCTGTGCAGGACTTTGTGGCGACTGGGTTGGCTTCGCTGGTTGTTTTCTGACGGGATGCGCGGCAGAAAGAAGAAACTCTGAGGCCGAACTTCGGCTTCAGGATGTTTTCTCTGGTTTTCAGCGGTTAGGAGAAGAAAGAAACAGATGCAGAAAGAGGCAGAGATCAGTCAGATTGTTTCTTTTGTGTTCAATTAGTAGACTCAGTAGAGTCTGTTAAAGAAGCAGAGCAAGCAGCTGGACGCACACACACACACACACACACACACAAACACACACACAACACACATAACACACACAGACACACACACACACTGTAATGCTGCTGACAAAGGGCTGTTCACGGAGGCTGATCAAAGCTGTGGCAGATGGTCATGCAGGGACTAGCTAGCTATGGTTGAACACACACACACACACACACACACACACATGTGCACACAAACACACACACCAAGATGGATTATGAACAAAAACTTATCTTCTCCCTCTTGTGTCTTTACTTCCTGTTTCCTTTCTTGCCTCCTTTACCTTTAGCTTTTATTCAACCTTTTATTTCTTCTTGTCTTTATCCTAAACTTCCTCCTCCTCCTCCTCACCTCTTCACTAACTCAAACTGAACCATTTATTTTAGAATCTAGAATCGATGAGCAACTACATGACTTTAAACCTCGTCAGTGATAAAAAGCTGCACCTACAAGGCCAAACTTATCCATGTGGCAGGTTTAAAAACCACCAAAGTGCTGCACGTTATCAGATGAGCAGCAAAAATGATGCACAAAACATCAAGACAAGATAAAACTAGTCGGATCAATCAATAAAATGAACGGTTTTAAAACAGGCAAATGAGGACAGCAACTTCTGAAAATAACATTAAATGTGAAATATTAGGACCATTAAGACCAACCATAAAGAACAAGCATGCTTTAGTGGTATTTAGCAGCTTCACACCTGCAGGATAAGAGCAGCCATGACTGTAATGTTTCCTAAATGTTGATATGAGGTTTGATTAGCATCTGAGAGAAGCTAAAACGTGCTAAACATGTTGCTTCCAACATATTTTCTGTCTAGTCGACACTTGAAGGCAGAAATAACCATAAAGTGGCAAAATCAATACCAAAAAAATCTGACTTTAAAGATTCTGAACTCTACTAATTAAGACGACGGCGTTGTTTTACGTTTATATCCTGCAGAGCCACTATCTATTGAATGTTAATTACAGCGGCGTCCCGTCCACACAAACACAAACAACCACACGTGCACTCGCTCACAATCAAACTAGATGTTGGGTGAACAGGGCCGAGCTGTTATCAGATATAAATGACCCCCTCCACCAGACTAGACTGCTCAGGTTACTGCGAATCAATACGCAGCAAATTACCAACGCACACACAAGGGCCGGGCAGCAAACGTCGACAACCCAGCAAACACACAACCCCGAAACACAAACGTGGGCTCAGACAAAAACACGATGAAGAGAGTCATCGCTTCGTCATTAATCAATTACCGAGGGGAGGGAAATAAAAGAAAAGTGGAAGCTACAGAAGTCGTCTCCTCCTCCCCTCTCATTTACTCTCATTTACACCCCGTTGCTTGTTTCCTCTCAACTCTTCTTCTGCTCTCTTATTACAGGTAATGTTTCCTCTTAGCGGACGGGAGGAAAAATTCACAGGTAAAGTGGAAAAAGATTAAAGTTCTGATGGTGGAACACTGGTGGTGTACGGGAAGAGACACAAGTGGGTCAATAAATAGATTAATAGATGATAAATTCAGTAACTG